GTGGTGGGTGAATGTGAAGGCCTAGGACATGACTGTACACTATTTTAGATCTTATAAACACTATGTATTTAGGCTACACTCAATTTATTTAAAAATTTTTTTACAGTAATAAATTAACCTTAGTTTGCTGTAACTTTTTTACTTTAAACTTTTAAATTATTTTAACTTTTTGACTTGTAATAACACTCAGCTTAAGACACAAATATGTTGTATAGCTGTAGAAAAATGTTTATCTCTTTATTTTATAAGCTCTTTTCAACTTAATTGTTTTTTTTAAAACTTTTTAAAATTTTTTGTTAAAAACTAAGACACAAACACACACATTCATGTTAGCTTAGACATACACAGAGTCAGGATCATCAATATCACTGTCTTCCACCTCCACATGTTGTCCCACTGGAAAGTCTTCAGGGGCAATAACAGGCATGGAGCTGTCATCTATGATAACAGTGCCTTCTGGAATAACTTCTGAAGGACCTGCCTGAGGTTGCTTTACAGTTATTTTTTTTTTTTATAAGTAGAAGGAGTAAACTGTAAAATAAAACATATGGTAAATACATAAACCAGTAACATAGTCATTTATTGTCATTATCAAGTATGTACTATACATAATTGCATGTGCTGTACATTTATACGACTGGCTGTGCTGTAGGTTCGTTAACTCCAGCATAATTACACACATTTGTGAGTAATGCATTGTACAGCAACGTTAGGATGGTTAGATGGCTATGATGTCACTAGGCAATAGGAATTTTTCTGCTCCATTGTAATCTTATAATTTTGTAGAACTGTTGTATGTGTGGTCTGTTGTTGACCAAAACATTGTTATGTAGCCCATGACTATATTTAACCCAGTATATTCCAAACATTATTTCAACATACAATTTTTTTTTTTTTTTTTTTTTGAGACTGAGTCTCACTCTGTCGCCCAGGCTGCAGTGCAGTGGCGCGATCTTGGCTCACTACAAGCTCCACCTCCCGGGTTCACGCCGTTCTGCTGCCTCAGCCTCCTGAGTAGCTGGGACTACAGGGACCCGGCTAACCACACCCGGCTAATTTTTTGTATTTTGTTTTGTAGAGACGGGGTTTCACCGTGTTAGCCAGGATGGTCTCAATCTCCTGACCTCGTGATCCGCCTGCCTCAACCTCCCAAAGTGCTCTTTTCAACATAAATATTAAAAAATCAATATGGAATTTATAGAGGTAGAAAGTATAATAGGGCTTATCAGGGGTTAGAAGAAGAAGAGAATGGGAATTCTTGTTGAATGACAGTTTCTGTTTGCAAGGATGAAGTTGTTCTGGAAATGGGCGATGGTGATGGTTGCACAGCAGTGTGCACATACTTATTGAATTGTACACTTAAAAATGGCTAAAATGGGCCAGCCGTGGTGGCTCAGGCCTGTAATCCCAGCACTTTGGGAGGCCAAGTCTAGAGGATCGCTTGAGCTCATCAGTTCGAGACCAACCTGGGCAACATTGCGAAACCCCATCTCTACAAAAATAATACCAAAAAAAAAAAAAAATTACCCAGGCATCGTGGGGAGTACCTGTAGTCACAGCTACTTGGGAGGCTGAGATAGGACGATGGCTTGAGCTCAGGAGGTGGAGGTTGCAGTGAGCCAAGATCATGCCACTGCACTCTAGCCTCTGCAATAGAGCAAGACTTTGTCTCAAAAAAAAGAAAAAAGGCTAAAATGGTAAATGTTATGTTATATATATTTTACCACAGTAAAGAAGTCACCATAAAAATCAGTATGGGGCTGGGCGTGGTGGCTCACGCCTGTAATCCCAGCACTTTGGGAGGCCGAGGCGGGTGGATCACCTGAGGTCAGGAGTTCA